GTAAGTACACTCTGTGATGTCTGTACAATGATGAAATCACCTAATGACACATTTCTCAGAACGTATCCCCATCATTAAGCGACGCATGACTATAATTCATTTCTCTGTGTCTAGGTTTCTTCATCTAAAAAATGGGATTATAATAATAACTACATCATAGATGCAGGTCAAAACAAAAAAATCCCTGTAAAAGTGCGTAGTGCAGCATTTAACACTATAATTATCATCACTGTTATTGTCACTGTCATCATCATTATTGCTATTAATCTAAATGACATCCAGATTGTTTGTACCTAGACAGGTTTACCAAGACATTTTTCAGAAACTAGCACCCGCCCGCCCCTCCCCCCCAAATTAAATGACCCTCTGAAAGGCCTGAAGAAAGAACATGGCACATCTCTTCCGAGTGTGGCAGAAACAGCTGAGAGTCTGGAGGGAGCTGTGAACATTCAGTGTGAACACTAGAGAGCACACAGCACCTGTTTTCTATAATATTCTCACCCTTGTAGTTGATAAAATGGGCCTGGGTTTGGGTCGCCTTTCCGCCCTGCTTAGCACCTCCCCTAAGAAGCACCTTAGCAGATATTACAAATATCCAAACACATCCAGGGACAAGCTCACACACCCTTCTGGTGATGGCTCCCTTAGCCATACACATGGACAGCAAAGCCGCACTGGGACTAGGCAAAGATGCGGTTAATATGTCTTTAAGGATTTTTGGGGTGTTTGGCTACTGTGTAAATGGGGTTAAAAAAGATATCACTGGAATTAAAGAAAAAATGAAAGGCTTTCTTCTCAGATAGACTTGAGTGCACAAGAACAACATTTATTCTCCAAGCAGGTAGATTTTTTATTTTAATGTGATTCCACAATTCTGCTGACTCAGTCTTATAAACAAAAAGTAAATCTGAAGATTTATAAAATAGCAACTCGGATCTGTAATGAAATCTGAAACTTAAAAGTCTAGGCCAACAGTACTTTTAAAATAAAGTAGACGTTTGCCTGAAAGAGAGAAGCTACAATTTTATTGCTGTTTCCAAGGTTAAGATGATCAATTCTTGGCCAAAAGCATGTCCACCATGTGAAGACAGGCATCACAGTCAGAAAAATCACACACTGCAGAAATGGTTTTATATCAGGAAAGCTGCTCGCTGGAAACCTTCAACTTAATGCACAGTTTTTAAAGCTATTTACATACAAATACTAAAAATAAAACAAAGGAAAGTCCACAACTGTATTCAGAGAAATGTGTATCCTCAAGGCCCCTGGGAAGGTTCTTATAATCCATACAGGGTCTAGTACAGTGTTTACTTTTTTAAATATTTGCTGGTGCTCAGAGGATATTAAGGCCACCATCACCACCAATTTGACTGTTATGCCATAGTTGGGTATAAAGCTACATCTTATTTCATTAGAGAAAATAAAGACAAATCAACCATAACTGTTGCTCTTTGATTGTGTTCCTATTTCTACATATGCTCCGTTTTTACTGCCCTGTCTTAATTTTCCTTCTCTTCCCTCTTCCTTTATTTTTTTCATATTTACACATTTATTTAATATTTTCTTCTTACAAGGCATCTTTCACATGTTATCTCACTTTACTCTCATAAGAAACAAGTTATTATTGCTCAACTTTTAAAAGTTAGAAAGCTGAGTTAAAGCCTAAATGACCTGTTCAGGATTCCAGAATGTGTGGATGAAAGAGAACTTAAGTTTAATTTTCTGATTCTACACTACCATTTCTCAGCGGTCATGAGATTTTCCTGTTAACCACTTTTCTCTTTTTCCCCTCTTCCTTCCTTCATTCCTTACTGCTGTACACTTCATGCTAGTTCTCAATGACGAGTGTCAGCTCAGATGTCTTCCAAGCAGGACCCTTTCCTGGAGCACAGGCAAACCGCAGAGGAGGCCTCTCCTGAGTACTCCCATCACATGTTATGTTTCCGTGTGAGAGGGTTAAGATTTGCGGCTCCCTGAAGACAGGAGTTACATCTAGCTTATTCAGTATTGTGATGCCGGCAACCTGGGGCTGGATTTCCCAGCAGCACATCTTGCTGAGAAAAGTGAAAATCCGCCCCCAAAGAGAGTTTAGAAAAGCACGGAGAGGAGACACCACTTCTGAGACTCAGCACGTGTTCCAGGAAAGGTTCCTGGATGAGGACATCTGAGTTGACACCACAGGAAAAGTAAAATTATCCAGGTGAAGGGGCTGAGGGGACTAAACAAGAGGAGGAGGCTGGAAAGGAATGAAAAATAACAAAGTAGTAGGAGAAACACAAATACTAGTCATTACAGAAAGGAGGCTGCCTGCCTATTCAGAACCACTCAGTTATCTAACCAGGAGGCAGTTTCTAAACCTTGCAAACAGCAAATCATTTCATGAGAGAAATGTGTAGCAACATATAAACAAGGAGGGCTTTAAAAACAATTGACAATGGAAAACTTCAGACAACCGTCAATCTTTTTGTAAAGCTACTAGAGACAGAACGGTATCTCTGTAAAATACTAGAATCCCTTTACCTTAACCTGCCTAGAAAATGGTCTGAACAACACAATCCATCTCCCAGCATTCCAGCATTAAATAGATTATATTACTGCTAAAAATATCACAATTCCTTTCTTTTATCATGAAAGTAAAGAGAAGCTGGCTATAATAAGATTTTCTTATCAGCAATCTCTATCTGGAACCTGTTTCACTAATACATTATATGATTTTAATATAAAACATTTCAAACTAAAAGAAATAGAAAATAGCAAACATCCATCCACCCACTATTCAATTTTACCAAATCATAACATTTTGTCACATTTAATTTCATATCCTTTTTTATTTTAATAGAACACTATGAACACACTTGAAGCCTGGTTTCTACCTCCCTCCCTAATACCATTCTCTATCTCCTAGAAAAAGATGCTAGCATGACGTGGATGTACTCTTTTAAAAAATATATGTAGATAAAGAATACATAGGATTATTTAGCGGTTTCTTAAACAGTACATGAATTATGCTTTTGACAATACAGCAGTCAAGATATTCCAACAAACTTTGGAATATCTTACTAAAACAAGGCAGCAGAGGCTTAATAAATTACAATAAGAATCCTTTTAAACACATATGTGACTTTACACACAAATAGGGGAAATCTGGAGGTATGAAAACATAGAGGTGAATCAAGAGTAGTAAGTGACTACTCAAGTTCCAGCTGGTGGAATGGTAACTGAGACTCCTACATAAGCCCTGGACTTTGGACTACATCTTATTTTTCTATATTTTTGTCAATACTTACAAATGTCAGGTTTTTAATTTTTTTTTCAAGTGAAGAATAACAAAGGATAGCTCACGGTGGTTTTCACTTGCTTTCCTCCCATTACTAATAAGGGTGAGTACCTTCACATAAACTCATTAGTCATTCTAGCTACATCATTTGTCACCTTCATGTTCATCCATCTCTCTCTTAGGTTAATTTTTTCCTTGCTTTTTAGAGGAGTTCTTTATATATGCTGAATGCTTATGTGACATACCACTACACTTCTATTAGAATGGCTAAAATTAAAATGACTGACCCTACCAAGTGTTGTTGAAGACCTAGAAACAACTGGAATTTCCATATACTACTAGAAAGAATGTAAAATAGTAAAACCACTTCAGACAACAGTTTAGTGGTTTCTTAGAAAGTTAAAATACACCTACCATATGATCTAGCCATTCCATAACTTTGTATTTACCAAAGAGAAATGAAATCATATGTTCATACAAAGACTTGTGCATGAATGTGTATAGAAGCTTTACTTGTAATAGCAGAAACCTGGAAACAACTCAAATGTCTCTCAATAGGTGAATGGATAAACAAACTATGAAACGGAATACTGCTTAGCAATAAAAAGAAATGAACTATTGATATACACTACGACATGGATGGATCTCAAAATAATTACAATAAGTGAACGAAGACAGATCAAAAAAGAGAAGAGTATACATTATAGGATTCCATTTATATAAATCTAGAAGGTGCAAACTAATCAATAGTGACAGAATGTAGATCACTGGTTGCCTGGGGTGAAGAGCTGTACGGAAGGGTAAGAAGGAGAGATTACCAACGGACAGGAGGAAGCTTTTGGGGTAATGGACACGTTCATTATCTTGATTCTGCTGGTGGTTTCACAGGTGTATACAAATGTCAAACTTAAAAAATTGTGTAAATATGTTCAGTCTATTGTATGTCAACTTAGCAGATTGTACACTTTAAATATGTATAGTTTATTTTATGTCAATTATACCTCGATAAAGCTGTTCTTTAAAAAGTTCACAAGAATAATAGGACAAAAGAGAACCCTAACCATACTAGGCTTTTCTCTTCTAAACATTTTTTAAATGTAGGTCACAATTAGGGAAAATCTCTTAACCTACTCTTTACATCTTCCTAAAAACAAACAAAATATTATCTCAAATAAGTTAGAAATTGTTGGAGGGGAAGGGGGACATTCCAGACAAAATATTTTCTTGGAGAAATAATGGAGGGTAAGTGACTAAAGTGAGAGTCCAGGTCCTAAAAACACTGTGCTTCCTCCAGGAAATTCATATTTTTGCTGTTGCTGGTAGTAATTAGTATGTCAATAAGTAAAATTTTCCACCAGGCTCACTAACATGGCTAAGATTCTTGCCCCATTGATCAAGTCTGACCTAATGATAATATAGTAATACAACAGCACTAATGGGCTTGTATACTTTTTCTCCACTGATGGCACTGATCTTAAGCCATTATCATTCTTACGAAAGGTTGTAATCATTTCTCTTTCTCTAGCTAATTCCACTTTCATATCCTTCTACTCCTCAAACAGAATGAACCAGGAAATTCGTAAGTTCTATCTCACTAATGACCTGACCCATTAAGCTTCAACTTAGACCAAAAACGCAAGACACAAGTAACCTTAATGATTTCAGGAAGATGGTAATTGTCGAATATTTAAGCCCCCAAAGACAAAAGTATTTGAATACCTACCATCTCCAAAAAGATGTGTCACAAGCCTGGTAAGTGTTTGTTTAAGGTCAAACTCTACGAGCTTCATGGCCTCCATGGTATGTGTCTCTTGTTTATGGGCAGAGCGAGAACTTTGTTCAAAGAGCTGCAGGCTTTCTCCATTCTTTATGCCAGCAAACAACTGTAAACCAAGAGGAGTAATATAAATAAATAAAAACAGTATCCTAGCCAGTCTATATCAAAAAACATAATGTGGGAATAAAATCCATTAAATCATAGTCAATGAACATATGAAATTAACATTCATTTAGTGTCAACTTTGAACAAAGCACTATGCTACATGCAAAGGAGAATCTTTTCTAATCTTTGATAATCTCTCCATTTTACTTTTGCATTAATTTACAATCATTTCCTCACAAGAGACACTGTCCTCTATGCTGGTGGAAATAACAGTGAATCAGGCTTTCAGACTCTAAAATTATATTCCTGACCATCCCACTGTGTCCTTACAGCGTGACCTGAGATTAGGTAAGAAAGTATTGTCTAGGAATTAAATCCTGTAAAGTCCATGAAGGCGGGAAACATGCTGGACTTTGCTAATGCTCTATCTCCAAAGCCCAGGGCAGGGTCTGAAACATATTTCTCTCACTTACTATCCAGGTAAACTCCGGCAAGTGATATGGTAGGTAAGCCTCAGGTAATGATTTATAAAGTAGGAAGAATAATACTAACTTAAGAGACTTTGTAATAATTAAATAGAACAATGCATGAAAAGCACAGAGTACCTGGCACACTGCAATGGCTAAAGAGACTGCCTTCATTAACACCACAATCATTATTATTAATCACAGCTATTATTACTCACAACCCGCTTTAACCACTAAAACAAAGTGTCCCTATCTTTAATAATAAAGCAGAGCTTTACACACTAGGAGATTGACTCAAGATGGAGCAGTGAGCAAATGAATCTATCATTCTTTGCACCTGAAGTTCCATGAAATACAAAATAAAAAATGCTGTTTTCTTTGTTTGTTTTGGTGAGGAAGATTTGCCCTGAGCTAACGTCTGTGCCAATCTTCCTCTATTTTATATGTGGGATGCCAGCATAGCACGGCTTGATGAGCAGTGTACAGGTCTGTACCCAGGATCCAAAGCCGCAAACCCCAGGCTGCCGGAGTGGGACACGCGAACTTAACCACTATACCACCAGGCCAGTCCCTAAAAGAATGTTTTAATAACAGAATGACTCAACTGCTGTTTCTAGTAGTGTTGGGCTGGGTAATTAGAGCCAAACCTCCTGATAAATCTACGAAAAAATACAAAAATTCTTAAAAGCACTGAAGAAGTAACATAATAGAGAGTAATTACTAAACAAAACTCCATAAGAAAGCACAGAGCCAAAAGAAAGCCCAGCACAAAGCCAGAGAGAAATACTGAGAATACTTCCCTATTCAGTGTATCTACTGGAAAACTAAACATTGGTTGTGACAGCTTCCCAGGCAAGTGAGGCAAAAGTGGAAACCTGCAGCACCTGACCAAGTTGGGATGTCAGATAAACAGCCCTAAAGGACTTATTCTCATGACCAGGATGAACACAAAAGTAAACCTGTTCCTGTATAGACCTGCAGCCAGGTGTCACATTACCTGGGCAACAGAGATAACCTCAGGCAGTGAAAATGGACTAAGTCAATCCCAGATGGGTAGTTCCTCTATGTGTCTAGCAAAATCAAACAAAAATCTTTTCAGAAAAAGATTCTACTATCTTAGGACTCAAATTATTCCTATGAAAGCTGAAGACGATGCAGCTGCTAACGTCTACATCTTTCAATATTTCCTCTAAAAATACATTAGAACAAACAAAACTATTAAACACCATACCCTCAGCATGAGATAGAGAGTGCCTAAGCTTCAAAATAAATAATAATTGTGTGGGGAGGAATAAAAGAAGGAAAAGAGAAAATTTAGGGTTCAACAAGATAAAACAAACCTAAAAAATTAGAGGATTTACAAAGCCATTCCCCACCACCCACCAAAAAATTCCACTAAAGACATTGCACTTTGCTACACTAACAGAAAAGGGTACCAGAGAACTACAAAATCCTCTAAACAACCAAAAATCCACAAAAAACAGAAGAAAATTCTTTATAGAACTATAAAGAATTATTGCCAAAAAAAGAGAAAGAAAACCATTCCAAACAGTTCAACTGACGAAAATCTAACTCTCCTCCCAAAGAAAGAAAATCCAGAAACAGATGAAAAATGTAAGATAATGCTTGAAAACTAAATTAAATATGCTCAACCAAGCATTTGGGGATATAACCAATTGCTTGAGTAAGAAACTCAACCATTAGGGTTGGCCCCGTGGCCAAGTGGTTAAGTTCTCATGCTTCGCATCAGCGGCCCAGGGTTTCGCTGGTTCGGATCCTGGGAGTGGACATGGCACCCCTTGCCAAGCCATGCTGAGGTGGCATCCCACATGCTACAACTAGAAGGACCCACAACTAAAAATATACAACTATGTACAAGGGGACTTTGGGGAGAAAAAGGAAAAAAAATAAAATCTTTAAAAAAAAAAGAAACTCAAACATTAAGAACAAAAATGGTTGAAAAACAGAAAGAAATAAAAAGAAAACTGATTGAACTCAGGAAAGAAATAGAAGAAAAAAATCATCTCAGAACTACAAGTCTAAATTACAAAGTACACAAAGGATAATGAACTCAATGAAGATTTAATAAGAGGCATTGAAGAAAAGCAGGAAAACAACCAAGAAAAGGACAATGAGATAAAGAATCAGAGAGAAAATGGTGCAATTGGAAGACAAGCAAAGAAGGAATAACGTTTATATAACTGGAGTCCCTGAAAGAGGGAAAACAAAACAGTGGAACAGAACTAACAGGGACCAGACATAATGGGTACCTGAGAAAAGGAACCTGGAAGAACCAAATACAAGACATACTCTAGACAAACAGAAGACAGACAGACTTCAAAGACGAACAGAAAAAATTCTCAAGGCCTGTAGGCAAAAAGATCAAATGATAACTTAGCAGGGCAAAGCAATTAGACTAGCATCAGACTCTTCAAAAACAACAAAAGAAACAAGGCAACAACAGAGCCACACTTTCAAACAAGTCAATAAGAAAAAGTCTGGACCAAGAATTTTATATCCAGCAATGCTGGCCTTTGAGTATCAAGTCTACAGGAAAAGCTTTAAACAGACAAGAACACAGAGAATTTTACATTAATGAGCTCTTTTTGAAGAAGTCACCAAAGTATGAGCTTTATTCAAGCAAGAGATAACTGGGAAAATTCTGATGGAAAAAAAATTGATGGATAACTAATTAACACAGAAAACTGTAGATTTGAGACTAAAACAGAGCTAGGGATTAAGTTGGAAGGTTAACATACAATTGTCCTATGTCATGACAAAGTAGAAATAAGGTAACAAAAAAGTGGAAGAAAAGAGAGTCAAAGTGGAAAGTGAATACACTCATTGGTTATTGCATACATAATAGGTAATAGTGAAAGGATATCTTTAAGACAAACTAGATAAGTTAAATAAGAAAAAGATGGAACAAGGGCATTTAGAGATGTATAAATACAAAAGTAACCATGAAAACAAAAATATAAACCTTGCTAAAGAAAACAAAAATTTAACTCAAGAGCAAAGAAAACATATCTTGTAGAGAAATAAATATAATAAATATAACATAACTACAAAATATTATGATAGCGTTGAGACCAAAAGTATCAGTCGTATCACTAAGTGTGAATGAGACTAACTTAACTCTTAAAAGAGAACCAACAGAGACAAAAACATTAAATCAGGCCACAAAGCATGATCCACCTAACTATATGCTGCATACAAGAGACATACATAAAATAATGTTAAAAATAAAGGAATGGACAGCATATAACAGGCAAAGGGAAACAATAAAACAATAAAAAAATCAAGCAAAGTAATCATGAAATCAGAAAAAGGAGAACTGAGGCAAACAAACACTAAACATGACAAAGAAGATCTTGTATTAATTCTAAAAGTTTCAAATGACAATGAATGCATACTACTTATAATATCTACACATCAAATAAGACAGTAATCACCTTTATTTAGAAGAAGGCATAGGAGATGAAAAGACACACTTAGACACATTAATAATAATAGGAGACTTTAATACAGCATTCTTAGTATAAGACAAAGTACACAAAATTAATTAAGACAGAAGGCACAAACAACACAATAAGAGGAAATCTTACATATATATATACAATATGTATGTGTGTATATATACATACACACATGTAAATATAAATATGTGTATATATACATATATATATATTTTGCTCCCCTGATGATATAAACTACGCTTTCTTCTCAAGAAAATAAAATGCCCTTTTTTCTCAAGTTCTTTTTTCTCAGAGAATATTCACAAAAATTGATCAGGTATCAGATCACAATAAAAATATAAGTACATTCTATAAAGAAGAAACAATAAACTATACTTTGACTAAAATATTATAAAACTAAAAATCATTAAGAAAAACAGAAGAGAACACAAAGACCCTTCTACCTGTAAAATTGAAAAGAAGAAAGAGAAGGAAAAACTTTCTGGTAACACCACAAGAGAGAGATAATATTCCTAATATAAAAGGAACTTTGAAAAGTTGACAAAGGGCCAAAACTCAATAGAAAAATGGGAAAAATAAAGGAACAGACAATTCACAAAAAAAGATACAAAAATGACCCTTAAACATATGAAAAGGTGTTCAAAAGAGAAATGCAAATTAAAACACTGACAGGAGCCGGCCCTGGTGGCCTAGAGGTTAACTTTGGTGCACTCTGCTTTGGTGGCCCAGGTTCGGTTCCCAGGCGTGGACCTACACCACTTGTCTGTCAGTGACCATGCTGTGGCAGCAGCTCACATGCAAAAAGAGGAAGATTGGCAGTGGATGTTAGCTCAGGGATAATCTTCCTCAAAAAAGCAAGAAACAGAATCCAGAGAGGTGAAGATCCAGAAAGGCCAAGACCACTTAGCCAATTAGTCATCAAGTGGGGACTAAAACACTCATTTCACCCCTGATTCCAGGGACCTCTCTAAGTGGCTGCCTCTCACTTAGCTCTGTTTGAGAGACATCAACTGTTGATAAAATTAAATTAGATTTCCATTAACTGCACACAATAG